GAAACCCTGGTGTATGAACCCCCGTACAGGACGGTGGTGTATACCCGATACAGGACTGTGGGGGTATACCCTGAACAGGATGGTGGGTGTATGACCCCGGTACAGTTGACTGGTGGTGTATGAACCCCCCATACAGTGACTGGTGGGGTATCCCTGATACAGTGACTGGTGGTTTTATTGACCCTGAACAGTGACTGGTGGTGATGGGCCCTGGTGAGACCCGGTACAGTGACCTGGTGGTTTTAGACCCTGGTGTATGACCCCTGTACAGTGACTGGTGGTGTATGACCCTGGTGTATGACCCCTTGGGACAGTGACTGGTGTGAAAACCCGGGGACAGTGACTGGTGGTGTATGACCCTGGTACAGTGACTGGTGGTGTATGACCCTGGTGTATGACCCTGGTACAGTGACTGGTGGTGTATGACCCTGATACAGTGACTGGTGGTGTATGACCCTGATACAGTGACTGGTGGTGTATGACCCTGGTACAGTGACTGGTGGTGTATGACCCTGATACAGTGACTGGTGGTGTATGACCTGTACAGTGACTGGTGGTGTATGACCCTGATACAGTGACTGGTGGTGTATGACCCTGGTACAGTGACTGGTGGTGTATGACCCTGGTACAGTGACTGGTGGTGTATGACCCTGATACAGTGACTGGTGGTGTATGACCCTGGGACAGGAAAATTGGAGGTGTATGACCCTGATACAGTGACTGGTGGTGTATGACCCTGGTACAGTGACTGGTGGTGTATGACCCTGGTGTATGACCCTGATACAGTGACTGGTGGTGTATGACCCTGGTGTATGACCCTGATACAGTGACTGGTGGTGTATGACCCTGGTGTATGACCCTGATACAGTGACTGGTGGTGTATGACCCTGATACAGTGACTGGTGGTGTATGACCCTGATACAGTGACTGGTGGTGTATGACCCTGGTGTATGACCCTGATACAGTGACTGGTGGTGTATGACCCTGATACAGTGACTGGTGGTGTATGACCCTGGTGTATGACCCTGATACAGTGACTGGTGGTGTATGACCCTGGTGTATGACCCTGATACAGTGACTGGTGGTGTATGACCCTGGTGTATGACCCTGATACAGTGACTGGTGGTGTATGACCCTGGTGTATGACCCTGATACATTGACTGGTTTTGTATGACTCTGGTGTATGACCCTGATACAGTGACTGGTGGTGTGTGACCCTGGTGTATTACCCTGATAACAGTGGACTGGTGTTATGACCCTGGTTGTATGACCCTGATACAGTGACTGGTGTGTGACCCTGGTGTATGACCCTGATACAGTGACTGGTGGTGTATGACCCTGGTGTACGACCCTGATACAGTGACTGGTGGTGTGTGACCCTGGTGTATGACCCTGATACAGTGACTGGTGGTGTATGACCCTGGTGTATGACCCTGATACAGTGAATGGTGGTGTTTGACCCTGGTGTATGACCCTGATACAGTGACTGGTGGTGTGTGACCCTGGTGTATGACCCTGATACAGTGACTGGTGGTGTATGACCCTGGTGTATGACCCTGATACAGTGACTGGTGGTGTATGACCCTGGTGTATGACCCTGATACAGTGACTGGTGGTGTATGACCCTGGTGTATGACCCTGATACAGTGACTGGTGGTGTATGACACCAAATCACGTGACTGTGGTCCCAAGACCAAAACAAAAGACCGAAGGTACCAACCTTGTGAGCAATCTATACCACTGTAGCCTGGTTCACATTGGCACCTTCCTAGGATACAGTGCCCCCGTTCCTCGCACCTCTGTGGGCACTCGCCCTCTCCTGGCCCTCTAGTGATCACCAGAGCAACCTGGTGAGGCTCTCCATCGTCGTTATAGAGAGAGAGGAACCACTCTCCAGCCTCCAGGACCTCCTCCACCCACACCTCCACCATGTTCTGTAGCAGAGACGTTGATAGTTACATTGTGGGAACACCAGCAGTGTTGGTACACTATTCTATATGATAGTTACATTGTGGGAACACCAGCAGTGTTGCTACACTATTCTATATGATAGTTACATTGTGGGAACTCCAGCAGTGGTTGCTATACACTATTCTATATGATAGTTACATTGTGGGAACACCAGCAGTGTTGCTACACTATTCTATATGATAGTTACATTGTGGGAACACCAGCAGTGTTGCTACACTATTCTATATGATAGTTTTACATTGTGGGAACAACCAGCAGTGTTTGCGACACACTATTCTATATGATAGTTACATTGTGGGAACACCAGCAGTGTTTGCTTAAACACTATTCTATATGATAGTTACATTGTGGAATCCAGCTGTTGCTAACACTATTCTATATGAATAGTTACAATGTGGGAACTCCAGCAGTGTTGCTGACAACTGATTCTATATATAGGTTACATGTGGGAACACCAGCAGTGTTGCTACACTATTCTATATGATAGTTACATTGTGGGAACACCAGCAGTGTTGCTACACTATTCTAAATATGATATTTACATTGTGGGAACACCACAGTTGTTGGTACACTATTCTATATGATAGTTTTACATTGTGGGAACACCAGCAGTGTTGCTACAACACTATTCTATATGAAGTTACATTGTGGGAACACCAGCAGTGTGTGCTACACTATTCTATAAAGATAGTTACATAGTGGGATACTCCAGCAGTGTTTGCACACTATTCTATATGATAGTACATTTGTGGGAACTCCAGCAGTGTTGCTACAACTATTCTATATGATAGTTTTACATTGGTGGGAACTCCCAGCAGTGTTGCTACACTATTCTATAATGATATTACATTGTGGGAACTCCAGCAGTGTTGCTACACATTTCCTATATGATAGTTACATTGTGGGAACACCAGCAGTGTTGCTACACTACTTCTATTAAGATGTTCAATGGGACTCCAGCAGTGTTTCTGACACATTCCCATATATAGTTACATTTGGTGGGAAACACCAGCAGTGTTGCTACACTATTCTATATGATAGTTTACATTGTGGGAACACCAGCAGTGTGCTTACACTATTCTATATGATAGTTACATTGTGGGAACACCAGCAGTGTTACTACAACTATTTCTATAATAATGATAGTTACATTGTGGGAACACCAGCATGTTGCCTACACTATTCTATATGATAGTTTGCGCCGGTGGCCTGGTGGCTAAAGCTCCCGCTTCACAACAACGGAGGGCCCGGGTTCGATACCCGCGGGTGGAAACTTTTCGACACTTTTTCCTTACAACCTGTTGTCCCTGTTCACCTAGCAGCAAATAGGTACCTAGGTGTTAGTCGACTGGTGTGGGTCGCATCCTGGGGGACAAGATTAAGGACCCCAATGGAAATAAGTTAGACAGTCCTCGATGACGCACTGACTTTCTTGGGTTATCCTTGGTGGCTAACCCTCCGGGGTTAAAAATCCGAACGAAATCTTATCTTATCTTATCTTACATTGTGGGAACACCAGCAGTGTGTTACTGTCCACCTTGTCAATTCCTCTCAGTATTTCATATGTCGTTATCATGTCCCCCGTATCTCTCCTGTCCTCCAGTGTCGTCAGGATCATTTCCCTTAACCTCTCCTCGTAGGACATACCTCTTAGCTCCGGGACTAGTCTTGTTGCAAACCTTTGCACTTTCTACAATTTCCTGACGTGCTTGACCAGGTGTGGATTCCAAACTGGTGCTGCATACTCCAGTATGGGCCTGACGTACACGGTGTACAGTAACTGACGTACACGGTGTACAGAGTCTTGAATGACTCCTTACTGAGGCGTCGGAACGCTATTCTCAGGTTTGCTAGGCGGCTATATGCTGCAGCAGTTATCTGGTTGGTGTACGTGTACGTGTACGTGAGAGGGACACGGGGATGGGCTGCTACAGTGGTCCTGTGTAAATACTGTATCCAGAACACAGATTGGATACCGCCCTTTCACCTCCCTTGCTTCCCCTGCCAGGGAAACAGGGGACATGACCTAGTACATAATTAAAAGCTCTATCTCACAGACTTGATAGAGCTCTACACTCTGCGTAGAGCTCTAATTATAGTTGTGGGTAATAATTATCATTCTACACTCCTTCGGTCTGTTGGTCATTATAACGGCCAACAGACCGTTATAATGACCAATAAACCGCTTTAATGGCCAACAGACCGTTATAACGGCTAACAGACCGTTATAACGGTCGAGATACTCACCGGAGATGCCCTTACGTCACGCTGTCTGGTGCCCCGAAGGATCTTCATTATATCGTGCTGGGTATGGGTAGGCAGGGCGCTCCTGCGGGCGTATAGGCCTAGGGAAGTGCCCCTGTAGGGTACAATGAAGTATAATGAGCCGTGTGGTGAAGAGGAATCTAAATAATGATGATGATGATAGAATAATGATTTAGAAGCATTATAAGGATAATGGAAATCAGAATAATGGTAAGGAATACAGTGACAAGTCAGAATGACACACATTCGCGCGCCAGCGAAGAAGGCCGTGGCCAGAGGCTGTGACTCGACCCCTGCAATAACATATAGATGAGTACACACACACACACACACAACCAACTACACACACACATAAACACACACACACAGCATATGGGCGCCTAGCAAACCTCAGAACAGCATTCCGACATCTTAATAAGGAATCGTTCAGGACCCTGTACAACCTATACGTTAGGCCCATATGGAGTATGCGGCACCAGTTTGGAACCCACACCTAGCCAAGCACGTAAAGAAACTAGAGAAAGTGCAAAGGTTTGCAACAAGACTAGTCCCAGAGCTAAGAGTAATGTCCTACGAGGAGAGGTTAAGGAAATCAACCTGACGACACTGGAGGACAGGAGAGATTAGGGGGGACATGATAACAACATACTAAATACTGAGAGGATTTGACAAGGTGGACAAAGACAGGATGTCCAGAGATTGGACACAGTTCAAGGGGACACATTGGAAGCTAAAGAACACAGATGAATCACAGGGATGTTTAGGAAGTAATTTCTTCAGCCACAGAGTAGTCAGTAAGTGGAAATAGTTTGGGAAGCGATGTATGGAGGCAGGATCCAGAACATTAGCTTTAAGCAGAGGTATGATAAAGCTCACGGCTCAGGAGAGGACCTGTAGCGATCAGTGAAGAGGCGGGCCAGGAGCTCGACTCAGACACCCGCAACCTCAACTAGGTGAGTACACAACTAGGTGAGTACACACACAACATACAACACACCCACACATACACACCACATACACACGACACACACATACACACAACAACACACACACACACAACACACAACCGCACACACACAAATCCACACACGACAAAACCACACACACACACAAACACCCACCCACACACAGACACAGACACACACCACAAAACACCCACACACACACACACACACACACACAGCAGCAAACACACACACACACAAACACAGACACACACAAAAAAACACACGACACAAACACACACACAACACAATCCCACACACAAACAAACACACACACAAACACAACACACACACAAATACACACAGCACACACAAACAAAATACACACACACACAAACACCCACACACAAACACACCAAACACAAACACACAAATACAACAACACACAACAAACACTCCACACACTAACCCCACACCAAACACACACACACAAACACACACACACAAACACACACACACAAACACACACACACACACAAAATACACACACACACAAACACCCACACACAAAACACACACACAAACACACAAATACACACACCACACAAACCCCACAACACAAACACCCACACACAAACACACACACACAAACACACACACACAAACACACACACACAAACACACACACACAAACACACACACACACAAATACACACACAAAACACCCAGCGATCAGTGAAGAGGCGGGGCCAGGAGCTCGGACTCGACCCCCGCAACCTCAACTAGGTGAGTACACAAACACCCACAACAAACACACACAAACACACATACACAACACACACACAAACACACAAACACACACACAAACACCCACACACACACCTCGCGGGAATAACCACGTTAATTACCGGAGTGAAAAACGGTGTTTGGGCTAGTAAATCCGCGCTTAAAACACCTGTATAAATCTCCAAGGATGAGGCGACGCACTAACGCAAATACCAGCGTAAGTGCGTCATTAAGACTGAATAACGCGCCAGCATCATTCACCCAAACTATCTTATTCATCTCACAGTTTCCCTCACTTCTAGAGACTGTTTCAAAATGATGAACCCGATTTGAATTAGTTTTGGCTTCAAATTGGGTATAAATTTATGAAACACAAAAGTCTGTTTCAAATGATGAACCCGATTTGAATTAGTTTTGGCTTCAAATTGGGTATAAATTTATGAAACACAAAAGTCTGTTTCAAAATGATGAACCCGATTTGAATTAGTTTTGGCTTCAAATTGGGTATAAATTTATGAAACACAAAAGTCTGTTTCAAAATGATGAACCCGATTTGAATTAGTTTTGGCTGCAAATTGGGTACATCATTTTCAAACACAAATATAAATCTGTTATTAACTGCAAAGAACACTCAAAGATCAAATTAGGGACCTTTTACGTGTAAAATTGGACCTTATGGGAGGGATTACTTAGACTATAGGAGATTACAGTGAAAATGGTAGGATTTTATAGTAAAATAGAAATTAATTAAGTCTTGAGGTTTACTGCAGTGACAACAACCATCCTGGAAGTTACTACCCTCCTGTCATGTGTAGCAGTGAAGCACCAGCAGTGAAGCACCAGCAGTGAAGCACCAGCAGGCAGCAGTGAAGCACCAGCAGTGAAGCACCAGCAGGCAGCAGTGAAGCACCAGCAGGCAACAGTGAAGCACCAGCAGGCAGCAGTGAAGCACCAGCAGGCAGCAATGAAGCACTAGCAGACAGCAGTGAAACACCAGCAGGCAGCAGTGAAGCACCAGCAGGCAGCAGTGAAGCACCAGCAGTGAAGCACCAGCAGGCAGCAGTGAAGCACTAGCAGGCAGCAGTGAAGCACCAGCAGGCAGCAGTGAAGCACTAACAGGCAACAGTGAAGCACCAGCAGTGAAGCACCAGCAGGTAGCAGTGAAGCACTAGCAGGCAGCAGTGAAGCACCAGCAGGCAGCAGTGAAGCACTAACAGGCAGCAGTGAAGCACCAGCAGGCAGCAGTGAAGCACCAGCAGGCATCAGTGAAGCACCAGCAGGCAGCAGTGAAGCACCAGCAGGCAGCAGTGAAGCACTAGCAGTGATGCACTAGCAGGCAGCAGTGAAGCACCAGCAGGCAACAGTGAAGCACCAGCAGGCAGCAGTGAAGCACCAGCAGGCAGCAGTGAAGCACCAGCATGCAGCAGTGAAGCACTAGCAGGCAGCAGTGAAGCACTAGCAGGCAGCAGTGAAGCACTAACAGTGATGCACTAGCAGGCAGCAGTGAAGCACCAGTAGGCAGCAGTGAAGCACTAGCAGGCAGCAATGAAGCACCAGCAGGCAGCAGTAAAGCACTAGCAGTGAAGCACTAGCAGGCAGCAGTGAAGCACTAGCAGGCAGCAGTGAAGCACTAGCGGGCAGCAGTGAAGCACTAGCAGGCAGCAGAGAAGCACTAGCAGGCAGCAGTGAAGCACCAGCAGGCAGCAGTGAAGCACCAGCAGGCAGCAGTGAAGCACCAGCAGGCAGCAGTGAAGCACTAGCAGGCAGCAGTGAAGCACTAGCAGGCAGCAGTGAAGCACTAGCAGGCAGCAGTGAAGTACTAGCAGGCAGCAGTGAAGCACCAGCAGGCAGCAGTGAAGTACTAGCAGGCAGCAGTGAAGCACCAGCAGGCAGCAATGAAGCACTAGCAGTGATGCACTAGGAGGCAGCAGTGAAGCACCAACAGGCAGCAGTGAAGCACTAGCAGGCAGCAGTGAAGCACTAGCAGGGAGCAGCGATGCACCATCAGGCAGCAGTGAAGAACAAGCAGGCAGCAGTGAAGCACCAGCAGGCAGCAGTGAAGCACTAGCAGGCGGCAGTGAAGCACTAACAGGTAGCAGTGAAGCACCAGCAGGCAGCAGTGAAGCACTAGCAGGCAGCAGTGAAGCACTAGCAGGCGGCAGTGAAGCACTAACAGGCAGCAGTGAAGCACCAGCAGGCAGCAGTGAAGCACTCGCAGGCAGCAGTGAAGCACTAGCAGGCAGCAGTGAAGCACCAGCAGGCAACAGTGAAGCACCAGCAGGCAGCAGTGAAGCACCAGTAGGCAGCAGTGAAGCACTAGCAGACAGCAGTGAAACACCAGCAGGCAGCAGTGAAGCACCAGCAGGGAGCAGTGAAGCACCAGCAGGCAGCAGTGAAGCACCAGCAGGCAGCAGTGAAGCACTAGCAGGCAGCAGTGAAGCACCAACAGGCAGCAGTGAAGCACTAGCAGTGATGCACTAGCAGGCAGCAGTGAAGCACCAGCAGGCAGCAGTGAAGCACTAGCAGGCAGCAGTGAAGCACCAGCATGCAGCAGTGAAGCACTAGCAGTGATGCACTAGCAGGCAGCAGTGAAGCACTAGCAGGCAGCAGTGAAGCACCAGCAGGCATCAGTGAAGCACCAGCAGGCATCAGTGAAGCACTAACAGGCAGCAGTGAAGCACCAGCAGGCAGCAGTGAAGCACTAGCAGGCATCAGTGAAGCACCAGCAGGCAGCAGTGAAGCACTAGCAGGCAGAAGTGATGCACTAGCAGTGATGCACTAGCAGGCAGCAGTGAAGCACCAGCAGGCAGCAGTGAAGCACTAACAGGTAGCAGTGAAGCACCAGCAGGCAGCAGTGAAGCACTAGCAGGCAGCAGTGAAACACTAGCAGTGATGCACTAGCAGGCAGCACTGAAGCACCAGCAGGCAGCAGTGAAGCACCAGCAGGCAGCAGTGAAGCACCAGCAGGCAGCAGTGAAGCACCAGCAGGCAGCAGTGAAGCACTAGCAGGCAGCAGTGAAGCACTAGCAGGCAGCAGTGAAGCACCAGCAGGCAGCAGTGAAGCACTAGCAGGCAGCAGTGAAGCACCAGCAGGCAGCAGTGAAGCACTAACAGGTAGCAGTGAAGCACCGGCAGGCAGCAGTGAAGCACCAGCAGGCAGCAGTGAAGCACTAACAGGCAGCAGTGAAGCACCAGCAGGCAGCAGTGAAGCACCAGCAGGCAGCAGTGAAGCACCAGCATGCAGCAGTGAAGCACCAGCATGCAGCAGTGAAGCACCAACAGGCAGCAGTTAAATGCACCAGCAGGCAGCAGTGAAGCACCAGCAGGCAGCAGTGAAGCACCAGCATGCAGCAGTGAAGCACCA